CACCAGGGATGCCAAAAGTTTTTACTTTGACTGACTGTAAAAATTTACCACTAGAACTTTAATCAGTTCACTGTGATCACAAAATTTTTATTGTTCCTTGAAAGTTCTATTATTTATTGAGAGAGAACCAAATTTCTGCATTAAACGTTAGAAAACACTTCAAATTATAGTGCGTTTCAAACGAATCACTAATCTGTATTTATTGTTCGACTGTTAGAGAAATTGTAACGGTCTTACTTGCTTAATCCGGTTTATGCAGATAAATCCACAAGGTGATTATCCATTTATCACTATTCACACTAGCAGCTAGGGAATTTTCCACTGAGATGAAAACACAACGATATACAGGCGCATTGGAGCCCGGCAAAAGTGAAAAAGAGAGCCAAAAAAACAGGCGCTTACGAGAGAATTTTGCTCGTCCGAGGTGACTTGCAATAATTAGGGGTTAATTACATGAATTGTATTCAATAATATAGACCATTGCAGGCCTTGAGACACAGAGAGTAATATTTTTTACTATAAATCGCGCGTACTAACGGGAGTTTTGAGGGTTTTGCTTCTGGGGAGCATCAGAGGGCGCGAGGGCGCGAACTCATCGCTTATTCTAATAGTACTGAAGAATGTCCGTCGACTAGCACTGCCAGGGAGCAGATCGCAAAAACTAGGAAACAATGTGGCGGCTGACCAATCACAGCGGCGAGAAAGGTTCACTACTTTATAAGGTAATGAAGAAACCTGCAATTTTATTGGTTCAAAAGGTTGTTGTTGCCGGTTTTACAGGATGGATAGTCCAGCAATAGCATCTATTTTTAGAATATCATTTTTATGGTAAATAATAGAGATTGAGATATATTAAATTAGAAATAATAAAAATTGAACTTGTTGTGGGTTATTTCCGCAACAAAAAATGAACTTAGAATTTATTCCTGTAATAAAGAGGAAGTTTCCAGTGTTATATTTCTGGGTTATTTCCTTTTAAGTCAATGTTCATTCCAGTATAAATTTTGTTGTTAACTTTCAGTGAAAACCAGCGTGCAATATCTAAGTGTTGGAATGAAGTTCCTACCAGCTTTTGCCAAAATTACAGGATGATCATCCACAGCTTTGAAGCACCTCAGTTGCACAACATCTGCCGACATTGCGAAAACACAGGATACGAAGATTGCACTGTATGGAGATGATTGCGAAATCCTCACACAGAAAAGGAGCCCAGAATGGATCAAAGAGGAACTCCAGAAAGAAATGGGATCAACTGGAAGATCATAATTGGAGTAGAAAAAATTCAACTGGCGTTCAACACTCCTTGATACCTACAAAATGGAGAGAAGCTTCAAGAAGAGAGTATTTGGATCTGCAAAGATAACTTGATTATAATGTGACAAGAAGCCGAAGAATCAGTGGGATCCTGGATAAAATCGACTCGCTAACTCACGAGCACTATCCCTCCATCCAATGGAGATTCGGCTAGACTGACCATTAGTTATTCCTGTATAACTTGTCTCCTAGTACGGGTTAGATCCTTGTCTTGTTTATGTTCGGTAACTTTTAGGAGTTACTTGTTCTGCCTTTTTAAGCAACTTAAATGGGAGATGAAAATACATTATTCGCAGTAAGAAAATAATATAATATACAATATACGAGGTTTACCAGGTAAGACGTCATTTCTATTTATTTGCCCATGAAAAATAAGTAAAACAACTTACTCCTGCATCGTAAAACTCAAGTAGTATAGGATATTTTACAATAATTTAAATATAGACCGTTTTTATTGCTTCGAAATTGGTTTAGTTACCAACAGACTGGAACGAAAAACGCTTTTTAATGAAGGAACATTTGGGGCTTAATAGAATTTATTAAAACCATTGCCTTGTATTTCTCACTCTCCTAATTAAATAAAGAAATCATTAATAATTTAACAATAAAATTAATTGCGAAAATAACTGAAATTTCAAGTTTTGCTGGTGCAAAATGTAATGAGCATAACTAATTTCACCTACGAAATGATATTAAAAATAAATTAATGTTAACATTAACAATTATTCATAACAAAATCCGGGAAAAATAATGTTGAGTTTGAATTGAAATACAATGCACATTATAAAGAGGTATAGTGTATTGCTATACAGGGATGATGTGATGATTAGGAGATTGAAACAGGAAATTCATCGCTTTGTCCATTAGGTCACTTTCCTTACTTAAAAATGATCCAAGGATCAAGGATCTAATTCTTTACATAACACACCCAACAAAGTAAGAAGGTAAGTAAATTTTTATTTTATAGCCTACGCAAAATTAAATGTGGGCTCATCTCAAGTACCCAAAGATTAAATAAATTCGGCAATGGCCTAGTGACAATAGACTACGCAAATTCAATGATTGGCCGTGACTTTGCTCATTAAAGGACCTCACTTTGGATATTTTAGCAAACTTAATTAATTAACTCATACAAGGTTTGTATTTTAAGGTCACCAATTATTATTATAAAATGGTATCTCTGTCCAGAAAAATCACGTTGATTTAAATTATTGTACTACAATTAAAATTGATTGCAATTTCATTATGTCATCGGCAAAAATTACAATTATTATTCCGGTTATGTCGGCCTTGTGTGGGCCAGTCAACTTTCGCCAAAATAAACTTTATAAATGGAAGGTTAAGGTCGGATTTAGAACAATAGTTTCAAATTGAGTGAGTCATTATTGTCAAAAGTTTACCGTAACGATGGTGTAAATTTGTCTTTAGATGTTCTCTTCCCTATATGTCTCGTCTTCTGCCTCTTTTTTCATTCATCCCTCGGGATAGCGTATTTTAATCCCAATGCGAACTTTGACTTTTCCATTACTATTCCCTAGTTGTATAATATATTGATTTTGTATGCTTGGTTGGGTCTGGAGAGGAATCTTGAAATTTCAAAATACATATATACAAAGTCATGTTTGAGTCCCAGAGTTATTCTGTTAGCATTTTAGTTATTTTCATTTCCTTGTTGTGGCAACTACGGAAATGTTTCACCAAAACCCAAAATGGAATATTTTTGATGATGTAACGGACTTGTAACAGTTATTATTTGGCTTTGAAGTTTAGTATTACAACAATAGTCCTTGTCAATAAAATGACACATTAAAAGCTCAGATATTGAATGCTTAGGTAAGTAGGCTGTCGTTTCCCAAAATTAAATAAAATCCGAATCAGATTTTTGCATTTATCTTTTTAAACAATAACTCATTATTGGAATAGTGTCTAGTTTGGCTATTCTTTGGTAATTAAAATAATTTATACAAACTAATGGCGCCCTCTCTCTACTGTACCAACACCAAGGACCACCCCAAGCTAAACAACCACTGAGCATAGTCGAGCACAGATTATGACCATTCTTTTGTTTCGACAAAAGAGCGTTACATAAATTGGCGCCCAACGTGTGGCCTTGAACAACGTTTAACTTAGCCTAAATTCTTGGACAGTTTAGAGTAAACTATCTTTAAAAATCTGACATTGAGGCTTTTGAACTTTGATTCCTCATCATCAATGAATGTGCTACTTTCGAGACTATAAAAAAAAATGAATTCAGTATAAGCCTTATTGTCACCTTTATAGTCTTCCCTTCATCAAAGCCTTATTGTAAATCCATCAGCGTTTCAATTATCGCTTGTAAAGCCTTAAAACTAGAAACATGTTCTATAATATTAGATTTCATGGCTATATTTAGACGTTTGATATTTAATTTTGTTAATGAATCTATATAACTATTGCCGAACAAAGGATTATAGACGAATAATAAGAAAACAAAAATTTATCTTTTGAAATTAAAATAATCAAATGTAGGGTCTAGCCACTGCTGCTTTATCGATTAATTTCGATTTTTTAATCACTCCTGCCTTGAAATTGTTTTGTTATTAAAATACTTTGTTGTTATCTTTCTCCAACTTGCATTTCAAATATTTGATTTTGATTAGTCGCCAATTTACCTACTTAGATAACCCTGGGAAGAGATAAGGTAGAGAGATGAGAGATGATATATAGTGAATTATTGGTCTTAAAATTTTATAGATCGCGACCCAAATTAAATTGATGGAACTTTGACGTGTGTATATAGAAAATGCATCAGTCCTTTAAAACTCAAATAACCATAAATCTCAAACTTTTATAGCAGATATTAAATCTGGTGGTAACATTTCAAAAGATCTTTAACTGTAGTCGACTTTATTGCATTTTTATCGTTTTTCAGTTAGTAAAATGACTAATGCCAGTTGAGTCCGTAAAATCTCTGAGGCCTTTAAAACATTGATCTTTATTGCCTGAATTTATTTAGAAAAAAGTGCTGTTCCATCATTATCCAATTTAAAATGTTAAAGGTAAATCCAGCTGCAAGTTTAGTTTTGGCACGCCGACAAAACGGACATTTTTCCGCAGTTTTGGAGAAAAACTCTAAATTCGATACGAAACGAATATTGAAGAATTTTCAATTTCTGTATTCTTTTATTTGCAAACTCTTTCCAAATATGGTAATGTAGTTTTCAGTGTTGACCACATTCAGGCAAATGAAAAAAATTCCGGAAATTAGGGCCTGGTTTAGAAGCTGAAAACTTTTGACAGCGAGAATTGTGATTTTTTGCAATTTTGAAGCTGAATTCTGTAAACATGAAATGTTTAGCAATAGATAACTTTAATAATAAAGCTAAAGGAAAGCCCAAAAAAAAAATCGATAGTGACTTGATAAGTGAACCATTCAATTTAATGTAAAGCAACAAATTTTGGTGATTAAATTATTTGAAAGTTTTCAATGAATTTAATACTTTAATTATTTCACAAAAATCATTAATTCAACAGTTGCTGCAAAAACTGACTCCTCCGACTAAAGCAAAAAAATCCTTCAAACACCAAATCTACATACTTAATTATCCGAAATCAAGTTTTGATTGCACCTTGCACCTATAACAATGTATAATACGGCCATTTTGAATGTAAATAATTGTCCCAAATCTAGTGCATCCTGAACCTACCACAACATGTTGATGACTAGTATCCTCGTTATTCCATCCAGACGACGACTTCGAGCCTCTGCTACTAGGGTAGGTGTGGTAGGCACACATCGCGTCATTTACACCCCTCAAAAACAACTCACATAATGCCCGGAAAGGTAAAGAGGGGTAATTAATATATTAGAGGTTAGAGGTGCACCTCTAGGAGATGCGATCGCGAACTAAGCCCATATCCAGAGCCAGTGATGCTGGCTGGATCTCGTCGACTCTGTTTCTGGATCAATAAACGTGGTCGTGTTTGGGTCCGGAGGGCAGGGTTGGATTTTTGTTTGTTGCGTGAGGGGTACAGTTAAAATATCTTTTCAGTTAAAAAAGGGACACATTTTTTTATGGTAATTTTTGTAAATCTATCGTAAGTTGGTTCTAGACAAATAATGGTTGACAAAAATATAGTATTGTTTTTGTGTCGGTATAGAATGTCGTTCTTTATTGTGTTAAACTAATGAATTTCTGTGGATTTTGGCCTAGCAAGGTAATTTTTTGCAGATTCAATTTTAAAAGGAAATCCAATATATCCAAACACGATAGGGCCCAGGATTTCAGGGACCTAGCCGACAATCACAAGTTATCAACAATCTGAATAGTTTTATATCAGTCTATTATCGGAATTTGCGCGGTTTGCGTACCAAATTAAATACATTGACTAGTTCTGACGGAGACTTGGCTCACTGAGGACTTTTATTATGCTGAACTGGGCATGCGGAGAACTATAACGTCTTTAGACTTCTTCCAGTACTGCCACCGAAGGTGGAGGTGTATTGATAGCAATTCAAAAGGGTATTTTTAGCTCAATCTGCGACTCACCCAGGACTATTGAACAGTTATCCGACAGGGTGCACTCGGGGAATAGTAAATTATTGCTTGGTGCAGTTTACCTACCACCTAGATTCAATAGCGAGGATTACAGATGTTTTTCGGACTCAGTGGAAACTTTGCTGGATACATTCCCAAGATTACAAGCTTTGCATTTTCGGTGATTTCAACTAACCAAGGCTCACTGGGGTAGTGACAGTCTCAGTTCTGCAACTATTGCTGCTCAGTCTTCCTTAACCTCAGAGCGTGAAGCCATCGAATGTTTATCCATTATGAGCGCTTACCACAACCTGTTACAGATAAATGCATTCTCTAATGCTCGTGGCACTCTACTTGATCTGGTTTTCACCCAGGACCCTGAGGATACTTGTCTCTTAGCTAATGACATTATCCTCCCCATTGATGCATATCATCCTGCTTTACTTTCTCCCACCTCACTGCAATACTGACGTCCCCTAGCCTAACGCGTACTATTATGATTTTGGGTCTGCTCATTACACACTCCTCAACGATAACCTTGTCATGGTTCGCTGGGATGACTTACTCCGGGGTCTCGATGTGACAGAAATGACCAGAGTTTTCTATGACGTTCTTTATATGACTATCGATTGTTTTGTATCAAAGAAGAAGCTATCAAGCCATAAATTTCCATGATGGTTCTCCCTTGAACTAATAGACCTAATCTGAGATAAGCCAAATTGCTATTTCCATATACTTTATGTTCTATTGTAGTAAATGTGAAATATTTATGTCTGGGAAAATAAGTGTACATGTATTTTACATTGATCTTGTGAACCCATCCGAAAATTTTAGCCAGACTCAAAAACTCTTATTTTGTATCACGAGGAGAACAAACTATTTAATAGATATCAACTGGGAAAATAAGTGCTGAAGAATTTCACTGCCTCCTGGACTACTACTATTCAATATTTTCATCAACGATATTAATTCTTATTTCATTAATAGTGAGTTTCTGTGTTTTGCCGATGACTTAAAAATATTCGCCTGAGTCTCCTCCCACGAAAACTGTACCAGACTACAATCTGACTTGGATAGACTTTCCGAATGGTGTGTCACAAATGGCATTGAGCTTAATGCCTCTAAATGTAAAGCTATCGTTTTCAAAAGTCAAAGCCCCATAAAACTTTTATACCACATAAGCAATGAACCACTTGAAACAGTCTCCCAACAACGTGATCTCGGTGACATTTTTGATAACACGTTAAGCTTCTCCAGCCTCATTTCAGATATCGTTACCAGGTCTCTGAAACTGCTGGGCTTTGTTAAAAGGTGTTCAAAGGACTTCACTAACATCTCTTCCATCAGGCTTCTCCACTGCACAATGATAAGGCCCACCTTGGAGTACTTCTCCTCGGTTTGGTCACCTATGTATTCTGTCCACATCAACGCCTTGGAGCAGGTGCAGCGTAAATTGGTACGGTACTTGGCCTTCAAGATAGGTATTCCTCCTCCCAAAAATTATATCTACAACTATGATGACCTCTACCGACTCTTCAACCTGCAACCCTTAGACGCCAAACGAAATCAAAGTGATTTATTAACATTTTTCAAAATACTAAACTGTCACAAAGATTCCATGTGCCTACTATCCAGAATTGGACTTCATGCCCCAGCAAGGACCACACGCCCTTTCACTACCTTCTCAGAAAAGATTCACCGGACTAACTATGGTTCGAATAGTTTTATCTCCAGAACTTCCCGAATCTCTAATGAGTTCAATGCCCTGGACTTTTTCAGTACTCGTGAAGACTTTAAAAGGGAGCTTAACTTCTTAAACAAAGATCCTGGACCTATTAATTGTTCATGTGATATTTAGTAATAGGAAATAATTTTATTGTAAGTAATGTTCGCCATTTTGTCACGTTGTTGAGTACTAATAGTCTTTTGTTATTCTATTTTAAATTCTTGTTGTCAACTAACTTGTTATCTAAACGTCTAATTAATAATTATTATATATAGATGTTCTGTATGCTAATATGGGATTTCCCATCAATAAATAAAATATTTTTTTTTTTAAAAAACTAAGAAGTATCAATGTTTCGTTTAATGAGCAAAACGACAGAAAATCCAGCCCACCTTTGCAAATCTGGTAATGGGAAACGTGATAGATAAGGTTGTTTTGAGATTGCCGTTTTCGCTTCCCATGTTCAACATTTATGTCGATGATATGATTTTGCGATTCCGAAAAGTCAGGTGCATGATGTTATTGAATACTTCCGTAGTTTTCATAACAAACTGGAATTTACATTGGAATTTGAAATTGAAAACAAAATTCTTTTTTTAAGATTGATATAAGAACCCCAGAGCAAATTATCTTAGGGAGTTGAAACGCAAAAGACATATACCTATATCATCCTATATCATCTAGTATGTCGTCAATTTATTGCTATTCACTACACTATTTATTATTCTAGTCAAAAACTTGTTTAAGTTAAAGAAAATATTGTTACTTCTGGTCTCAAAAACGAAAAAATATTGCCAGATGCGGTTTGCTAGGAAACTTAAGATTTTTTGAAAGGTTTATTTGAAGAATATTTAGTTTAGAACAGACTTCAGAAAATTCCAATAAGATCTTATTAAAATATTGTGACAACGGGACTCTTGACTGACCACACACCAGTAAAGGTTCACCTGAATAGGATGAACCTGTACGACGGAGACCTTAATTGCAGACTTTGCGATAAGAAAACCGAGATAGCAAGACACATCCTGGTTAACTGCGGGGCACTGTATCACAGAAGACACAGCATTTTCGGGCAACCAAATGTAGAACCGGAAACAATAATGAAACACCATCCAGTAAAAGACCCTGTACAACCTCGTACAAGGCTAAAAAATACTGGAGTGGTTGGAATAAAACACACAGGCTAAGTACAATAAGTCGGATAAGCCTACAAATCTTGGACATTAACTAGAAGCAGAGTCACGCATAAAATATCTGGAAAAGTAGTAGTGCTTTAGCGGAACAAGTTGTAACGACTCCAAAACTACAATAAGTCATTTTGAGCAAGGGTTGTTTTGATCAGTTCCATTTTAGCTTAGAAAAAGTGCAATCCGGAAGCCACATCAGAGAGGCGAAAAATATTCAATATTGATAAAACAAACCATCAATAAGGACGGAAGAAGGATCGCGTGGTAGAAATTAGACATTTGTATTTTCCAATGATAATAAATTTCCTTTAAAATACGCAATTTCATGCTATTTGCATAATTTGGTTCCCGATTTGTAGTACGCACGGAGACATATTTTCGGAATGAATGGATTTTTCATTACTTTTCCTTTGGTGGACTTTTATCCTCAATAAATTGATACTCGGTAAATATAAACTTCTATTTAATCGATGACATAAAATTGGAAATTATAGCTAAACTTTGTTATAGCTTTTGTAAAAAATGAAACCAGGACAATGAGAAATTTTTCGATACCTACGGTTATTATGGTCCAATTCTCAGATTTCCTAGATATGAAAATTACTTCACAAATTTCTTCAGAAAATAATGAACAAAACAAATATCTGGATATCAACAATTTCAACAGAACAACACACATCTCCATAATAAAATCAGTCTACAATCTGAGTCCATTTTATTAATTTCATGTCTTCATTCATACAAACTGTAAATTTTCACCCCACATAATTGAGAAGAAAATAACCAGGATTGGAAGTGTGGTAATTGATTTCTGGATTCACTCAGCTTTCATCAGGGTATTTTCACGAAATTTTCGCTTGTCCTTGAAAAATTCATATAGCCAGAGTAGGTATTCACAGTTTCGAGATTCAATTAAGAGTTTTCATCATAAAAAAAGAGAAAATTGTCACTTCAAAAAAAAAAAAATGCATGGCTAAATAAATAAAACCAGGCAAGTGAAAGTGCTATCAAAGTCAAGGTCTGCGTATCGAATATTGATATATTTTAAATTTCTTTTTACACGAAATCCACCATATAATAAAATCAAGGTTCTATCATAAATCGTCAAAGCTAATATATTGTTTTTGGATCAATTTTTTCTAGAATTTAGTCGATTGGTGCTTATTTTCAACTGCAATATCCTCTGACATACAAATCATCCTGAAGATTAATTTGCAAGTATTTAAAATTCAATTTCAAATTATTTTTAGCTGATATTTTCGTTGGCAGGGTTTAACTACATTAAAACAAATAATGTTTTAGTACTTGAGACTTATTACTTCCTGAGGGTTATGCACAACACCAGGATTATTTTTAGCCCTCTAACGGTACCACGGCTTAATATCAGTTGCGTTAAGGTTCCCTTTACTGTGGCTTGTAAAATACAATTATTTCCATGGTTAATATCGTACAGTCAAAATTGTTGTAATTCG